TCATGGGTTTCATGGAGTGAGAAATCTTTGCTCTCCTCACTACTGGGCAGCTCTTCTTGGGGCAACGCACCATGTCTAGGCAAGCTCCCTGATTCATTTTGTATAGTATTTAGCACTCAATCAGCATCTTCCTCTTCCCCTTCTTTCATTGACACAGTAAAGCAAACAGGGCTAAAACTACATTTTGTTGGTCTTCCCTCATGGTCAAAGCAAGGTGCTGGGCTCTCCCCTTCCATGCCATACTGGGGTTTGGTGGCTTTCTCAGTGAAATGTACACATCGTACCCTGTGGGCTGTTCAAAAGGAGAAGGAGACACCCTGGCTCCAGCCACCCGTTGTACACATGTGCTGTTAGAAGGGGAAGGGACAGGCAGGAAAGGAGACATCTCTGGTCACATGCAGAAGCAGGTTTTGAGGAATTGAAAGACTGTTATATCTGCAAGATTTCAAAAAAATATACATAATAATATCCGGGAAAGGACACCAATCATGCTTTTGCCTTTGAGGAAGCAGAGATGTGCCCCAGTTCTAGGAAGGCTCTTGAGGGAGCCCTACTGATGCTGTCCTTATGAGACAGGTAGGTCCCAGGCTCTCCAGAGCCCAAAACATGAAGCTCTGGGTGCAGAAAGGCTCCAGCCTTGCCACAGGCCCTTGGGGTGAGAAAACCCCTCTGGGTACCCACTGTGTTCCTGAGCATTGCAGCACAGATTACTAAAGCCATTAGGTCACCAACATGAGTTGCTTCCTTTTTTGGTCAAAGTCAAGTGTCAGAATCACAGGTTTCCTCTTTCCTTAGAACTGGGCTTTCTCGATACCACAAATCTTTCTTGCAAGGCTAAAATTAAATGTCTGAAAGCACATGCACAGTGTTGCAATCTCACCGCTCTGCTCGCTGTGCTGTGTAATGCATGAGCAGGGGAACAAACAATAGAGGTTGGAAATAGCTGGGATGGAGATTTCCTCCTTCAGTTGCAGAATTGTTTCCTCGACCGGTGCGTGCATAAGCCAGGTGGCAAAATGCTTGCCCCCATTGGGCTTCCTGGCAAGCACGGGGGATCTCTGAGTGAAGGGTAGAAATGAGTAGAAGAAAAAGTCCCCCAAAAGCAACTTCCACCCTACTTGAGCTTTACTACACTCTCCTGCTCCTTTGCAAACTCACTATAGCTGTTTCTTGCAACTCCTCGCCTGCACCCTGCATTTATTTGCAGATCCATGGATGGATGGATGGGAGCTGTTGCAGCCCTGGTAGTGGAATGTGGACGCCCATGACAAGAGCACGTCTTCTGGTGGCTCCTTCTTGGCCACAGGCTTTGAAACTTAAGTAAATAAAGAAGCACAACATAGGTTGCAGCTCAGCTGGTGGAACTATCCATGAAAAAGGGAAAATGCGTATCATGGGGGAAAAGTGCAGATCCTGTTCAGCTGCTCCTTTTTGTTTCATTTAACGCACTTGGAGGTGGCTATGCTGAGAAAATCCTTTATTTGGTTCTGGGGCTGTTCACAGCAGCCAGGGGAGGAGCATCATCTGTGCCAAACCCCAGTGCCAGGACTCAGCTGCAGGTTCAGCCCCGCTGGTGAGAGCTGCACCAGGTAGATGATGAGCCCATAACAAAGTTGAGGGACATTCTGATGAGATCCATCCCTCCCTTGGGAAAAACCTTATGACAGAGATCTCTGATCCTGTCCTTTGTGGACCTCATCTGTGTTTGTGTATCCCTTGGAAGCACAGATTTGGTCTGGTCAAAGCCATGCTGCTGTGTATCCATACAGTTCCAGAGCTCCTGCCCCTGTACCATGCTTCTTGGCTGCCTCACATTTTCCACAGGGCCAACTGTGCTCCCATCACCATGTGTTGTTCACAGCCCCCAAGTTTATAGGACATCAGAGAGGCCTCCTTTTCCTCCCAGCCCCCCAGCACATTATTTCTGTTTTTCTTCTTGATTAGTGGAAAAAAAAAATCCTAAATCCATGCAGGGAAGGAAGGTCTTTTCTCTCTTTCTCTCTCTTTGGTCAGTCAGTTAGATACAATTTCCATCATGGCCATGAAACACTTTTTCCACTGAAATAACACCTCTGCATGCTTTAAAGGCACAGGTCCCCCTGCAGCCTCCACCTGAGGGATGCATGCTGCAGTTCATCCATCATCATGCTCTGCTCTGACCCCACAGAGTCATAGAACGGTGTGGGTTGAAAGGAACCTCAAAGATCATCCATTTCCAACATCCTGCTGTGAGCAGGACTGCCTGCCACTAAATCAGGCAATGGATCAGATTGCCCAGGTCCCCATCTAATCTGACCTTCAACACTTCTCCTCTTTACTCCTGCAGGAGAACCCTGTGAGCTACGCTTTTGGGGCATGGAGCTGCAGTTCAGTGACTGCATTGGCTGAAGGTCAGCAGATTTGGGAACCTGCGAGTTTCCCAAGCTGCTCAGCATCCCCAAACTGACTGTGCTGCCTCTTGGCTTTTGCAGTGCCTGCAGAAAAAATCACAGCAAATGTTTCGACATTGACTGTCAAGCCACAAACCTCCCTGCTCCCTACTTTTGGGTCACTGCTTAATTGTTTGCAAACAGTTCCTTTGGCTGAGTTGGTAATTCCAAGGGGCTGTGTTTTCCAAGTCTATTGTGCTTCCAAAACGTTGGCAGCCCACTTGGATTTTGGGGCCCAGGGGTTCCTCGTTCCGCTAATCCCAGGATGAAAGCTGGAAGCAGCCGAGGCTATTTGGCTCCTTCCCGATGCCTTTTAAGAGGGGAAATTCCCAGGTCTGCAACGTGTTTGCTTGGTCACAGCAAATTACAGCTCAGGGGGGACACGGCTCTGCTTGGTCACAGGCTGTGTAAAGGCGAGCTATGAACAGCTGCACCACTTTGAGAAGAGCTTTGTGGGCTCTTTTTTCCTAAGTAGATTTTAATTCTTCATATTTTCCTCCCTCTGTGTGCCTTGTTTGGCACAGGCAGCTCCTCCACCCCCAGGACCCACTGGGTTCTTGTGCATGGACAGCATGGTGGAGCCACTATAGGATGCATCCCCTCTCCCCTCCATGTCCTGCCTTGCCTCAGTGTCCCAAGTGTCCAAACTCCCTGCCATGTGTGGATCTGATGTCACGACGGGGGCTCCAAGTGTGGCTTCGAGATGCCACCTGCCTGGAAGGAGAGAAAGGAGAGAAAGGTTCTCCCAAACCTAAACCTAAAACCTAAACCCAAACTGAAACCTAAAACCAAACTGAAACCCAAACCCAAACTCAAACCCAAACACAACTTCAAACCCAGACTCAAACACAGCGAGCGGCTTTGCCAAGTCTTGCACCCACTGACTGCGCAACACTCCTTTGCTTGGGGGAACAGGAAAGGCAGCAGCCCTTCTGAAGAAGGGAAGGACTGACGGCGTCTAGACGGTGTGACTAAGGGGGGACCTGGCTGAATGTTTGCACAGCTTTGAAGAGCATAAACACCGGCCCAGCTCCTTCAAAGCAGAGGAATCCGGTGCTGCGAAGAAAGCGCAGGGAAATTCTGCTGTGCCTCTAAGTAGAGCTGCTAACGAGAAAGGGACCCTCTATAAGAAATCCCCAAGGCCTGACTCATTTCGGAGAAGCCCATGAGCTGGCAAAGATGCTGTGGGCAGGTGCATGCCGAGCTGCCCTTGTGGGAGCGAGCAGGACTGTCCCTGCAGCACTCGCTCTGTGCTGCAGCCTGGGTGTAAGCGTCTGAAAACGAAACAGGAGGCGCTGGGAATCCCACTGTGTCTGACCATGAGCTGTGTGTGTCTCCGCTGTAATTCCTTCAGCTCACAAAAGAAAAGGTTTGAGAGAAAAGGAGAGGTTTGGTTTGCTTTCCGTTTTTTTTTTTTTGTTGTTCGTTTGTTTTGTTGTTTTTTTGTGTTTTTTTACAACTTTAAATACAGTATTGAATATAAATTAATCTTACGTTAAAAAAAAGCAAAAAAAAAAAAAATTAAAATTAAAATAAAGCCTCACCATCTTTACAAACTGAAGGAAAAATTTTGGAAGAGGAAAGCGAAGCGCATTAAGACTCGACGGCTGGGGGCTGACCCCATACACAACCTGAGAAGCCCCACGTTGTGGCTCTGCTCCCATCCCCAGCTCCCCCGGGGCTTTGCTGGGTGACGCCATGCATGACGCTGCCAAGTTGGAGCAGGAGTGCCAAAGTCCCACAGTGGGAATTCCCATTTTGGATGGAGATGATGAAGGGGTGCACAACTTTCTCTGCAGGAGCTTGGAACATCCAGTGGGTAAAATCCTGATGGAGTTTGAGAGGGCAAAGAAAAAAAGATGGGAGAACTGAAGACCAATGAAGGCACGGTGCACAGGACACCCACGAAGGAGTTAAAGAGCCCGGGGGAATGACATGATTCTGCTTTCAGGACCACAGAGCAGGCGAGGACAGCTTGATGAAATTAAGTCATGCTTCTAAGTTTGGCTGTTGTTCATCGCCTTGCACCGCCGCTTCACCTCCTGCGAGGAAGTGGTGCTGAGTGTCGGTGGAAAGAGAGAGAAAAGGGAACCCGAGGCAGAGAGCTGCGGGCAGGGATCTGCCTGTCTCGGCCCCAAACACGCAGGCAATGAGCAGTGCAATGCCAACCCAATAGAGCCAACGGCAACGCGTGCCTCCAAACTGCCCACCGCCAGGAATGAAATCCATTTAAGAACATATATATATATATTTATATAGGTATGTATAAATACGCACGCACACGCACACACACGTATACATATACACACATAGACACGCGCACACATACAGAGCAAATTGAAAAAATACTCTGAGTCCAAGCCTGGAAAGTTGAGTTCTCCACCAGCATGTGCAAAGACAGCTCCTCGGCAGGGCCGGGGCACGGGGACGGCTCTGCCGCCGGCTGCTCCTTCCCCTCGGTCGGAACACCTTCCAGTCAGCACCAGGAGCAGGAGAGGAAAAGGGAGGGAATGGCATTTGGCTTCTTTGTTTTCATTTTGCTTTGCTGTTTTTTTTTTTTTTCTTCTGTTCCCCGAGATGTCGTATATTTCAGTGGTTTTGGTTTTTCAAATAAAACATACACACGCACGTTAAAAATAAATCTCTGTCCAGGTAGGGTGATAAAAGTCCATATAGTGCATTTTCCATCATGGGATGCCGTCCGCAGTCTGAGATATGCCTGTGTCAAATCGCAGGTCCAGTGCAAGTGCTGATCTCAGCCGGGCCCCGGCCGTACAGAAACACATGAGGAAGGAAGAAAATGCCCCTTCTTCCTTCAGTCCATTCATTTTCCTCCTCCCCACAGTAAGGATTTGGCCCCACTCTCCTTTTCACATTTTCCATCCTGTCCACCTGAGCAGGGAGGGCATTGTCCTGTCCTTGTTGACTGTTGGGGGGTTTGTGGTTTCATTTCTACTTTGTTCTTTTCTCATATGTATATATATATATATATATATGTATATATATATAAGCTGTGTTTGTCTTTTTTTTTTTCTTTTTTTTGGTTGTTTTTTGTTTTGTTTTGTTTTTTTTCTGTAAAACTTTAAAATGTTAATAAATGAAAGAAGGGAGAGGCTTCGGTAGGAGAAGGTCCACTGATGGAAAGGGAAGCACCATTTGCCGCCTGAATCAGTCGTTGAGGCAGACTGGCAAAGAGGAAAAGTTATCACTCCAAGGACCCCATGGGGGCAATACAGCAAATATATTAAATAAACCTGGAGGGCAAACAAAAACAGGCACAGCATTAGGATAAAGTATCACAGAATCATTAAGGTTGGAAAAGGTCTCTAAGATCATCCAGTCCAACTGCAAGCCCATCCCCATGCCCACTGACCACATCCCTCAGTGCCACATCCAGACGGTTCTGGAACACCTCCAGGGACGGTGACTGCACCACCTCCCTGGGCAGCCTATAACGCTCTGCCATTTCCTCCGGAAATGCTCAAGTACCAAACAGAAGAGCTCAGGAGGGCTTTTGACATTCTTTGTATTTCCTTCTAGATAGTTCAAGCCAGAGCTGAGCTGATCTGTTCCCAGATACCAAGAGTCATTGTCCCCCTGTCCTGAGTGGGGCACGGCCCAGGCTCCTCCAAACAGCTGTGGCGGGGTGAAATTCTTCTGATGATGAGGGAATTACTCCTGTTTACACAAGTCAGAGAGAGAAGAATCAGGCCTTGGACTGACAAAGTCCAGATCTATTGCCTGAGATTCCAGCTCTTCTTTCCCTGGTGTGACCTCTCTCAAGCACACAGGCTTCCCGCTAGGAGAGGGATGAACCAAGCGCTTTGCTGCTTCGGAGTCCTTCTGCCAACTAAACTAATGAAATGAAAGGAAAAGGGATCCCCAGAGCAACATTAATTCTCTTCTTTCAACAGAGAATCAATAGAGAAAGGAGAACAGGAGCTGTTCCACAGAAGAGATGAATAACACAGATCCCACGGGAATTTAGGTGTGGAGAGAAGTTGGGCTTGCTGTCTGCCTTTAAGGGAGGCAAAGGGGAGGCTGAAACCCAAGAGCCACAAAGCCATACATGGAACATGTGCACTGGGCTGTTCCCACGCTCAGGTCCTGCTGCAGGCCCATGCTGAGTTGCTGTAGGTGCTGTGGGAAGGGTCCAAGGCACCAGGACAGAACCCTGACCCAGGGAAAAACAGCTTGCTGTCACTTGCCTTGTTCTCTCTCTCTCCCCTGCCAGCACTTCTATGCTATGAGGATTTCTTTCAGCACTTTCTTATCGTTGACATGCTTGTATTTCTTGTGTTTTCTCTTCTGTGCTAGCGGCCGGCGTACCCGCTTCCTCTGGGAGATGGCGGCTGTGGTGAACGACGGCGACAAGCCTGCCAAAAGAGAAGGGAGAGCATACAGAGTGGGGAAGCTGGATTCATGCTGGAGTGCCTTTCCCCACATACTGTCACCAAAGAGGTCTGCAGTCTCACCCAATCCCACCTCCTGCTGTAAGCAGAGCTGCCACCCACCAGCTCCAACCTGGCCTTGAACCTCCAGGGATGGGGCACCACTGCTTCTCCGGGCAGCCTGTGCCAGCGCCTCACCGCCCAGCACCCAGCATGGAGGAGCTCATTCCTCTCTCCCCAGCCTTCCCCTGCACTACAAAGGCTGAAGTCCTTACGTCTCTGCTCACGGGGTGCTGGCCGGCTGCTCCTGGGGGGCGGCCGGGACACTGCTTCACACCGGCACTGCACATGGTCCTCCAAAGGCACAACGACTTTTTTGAATACTGGCTTCTTCTGGACAAACTCGATCTTGTTCACCTATTTGAAGAGAGATGCAGCCCAAAGATGAACGTGGCTGTAGCTCCCGCTCTGCAAAAATCATCAGTGTCTGTACACTTACACACTGGCTCTCTTCCTATCAGGGCAAAAGGCAGCGGAGAGCACACAGTTTGAGACCAGGGGTGGTGTATATAGAGCTAATTTTGCACACACCAGCAGGGCAGAGCTAAACTTGGATTTGACTGCTTGTTTCTCCCATTCCTAACCTGTCCCTGCTGCTGGTGGGGAGAAGAATGCGTGGCTGACCACATGCAGAAACTGTTTGTACGGCCGGGATGGTGTGCACCTGGGGGCAACCAGAATTAATCGCCGCAGGATCCCGCAGGAAGGGCAAAAGGAGAACAGCCTGTGCTCGATGTGAGCAGACATAGCCTCACCAGGCCTGTCTGAATCTGTCTGCATCTCTTTAACAACTCATGGGGCTGAAGCCCTCTGTTTCAGAGGAAGGCGGTGCTCTGGAAATTCCCTCGGACTCTCCACCAGTGCTGACTCAGGGAAGGCTCACACTGCATCCCACCACAGCCTGGGGTTCTCCCACTCTGGGTTTGACCCCATTCAGCTTATCTGACAAGCACACAGCCCCTAAGTGCTCTGCAGCTATAAATAGTTGCATGTGGGATTGAATTCCTGCAAACCCACTGCCCCCAGCAGCATCCCTAGGGCAGCACTGCGGCGGCCACGCTGTTTACCTTTCCTTGAAAGCCCACTCCATGCGCTTCAGACCACACGCTGCTCACTAGACAAACACTTCCAGCCAAACAATAGTGAGACCTCTGTCCTCAAAGAAACCATTTCCAGGTCACTTTTTGTGGCTGGCTTTTGACCTCTCGCTTGCTTTTTCCACAAAAACAACTCCTGCACCCCCTGCTTTTCCCTCATTTCAGCCTGGCTTTTCTGAGAGAGGAATTTCCTGATGAACAGAGCTGCCTGAATGCAATATCTCCCAGTCAGCCTCTGCCTGGGGGAGTCTCCTAAGGCTCAGGCAGGGGATTAATGCGGGATGAGTATTATTTTTAAAAGAGCTGTCTGGGAGGAAGCTGAAAGAAGATCACTGTTAGCAGAGAGGAGGACAGAGAGGTGAGCTGTCAGGTGTCTGTTTTCTTCTGGACTGGCTCAGGAGGTAACTGTGGGGCTGGCAAAGAGGAGAAGCTGCTGCAACACCTGTTGCAGAGGAGGGATGGAGCCTTGACATCACCAAGCCCTCCTCTTTCTGCACTGAAAACAGTTCCTGCAATGAAAGTATCCTGGTTTGTTTGATTTATCATTTGAGTTGGAAAGGACCCTTAAAGGTCATCTCGCCCAACTCCCCTGCAATGAACAGGGATGCTTACAGTTCAGTCAGGGTGCTCAGAGCCCCTCCAGCCTGACCTTGGATGTCTCCAGGGATGGGGCATCCACCACCTCTCTGGGCAGCCTGTGCCAGTGCCTCATCCTGGTTCTTCTGCTCTAACACAGAAGACGAGGCCCTCTCAAGACATAGAAACAGCAAGGGAACACTGCTGCAGTGACAGTTCCCAACTGCTGGACAGCAAAAGCACAGACATCACCATGCCAGAGACTGCAGCACTGTATGGATCATGCAGAACCACGTGACCATAAAGAAAGCATCAGGGAACGGGCAGCTATGCAAGCCTTGCACGAGGGTTTGTGGTTTAGGGAGAGCTGCCTTACCTGGACGTGCCGGACACGAATCTGCATGGGGCGGCACTGCACGTTGCGGTTGTTGCAGCAGCCGGAGCACCGCTGCACCTCCACGCAGGGCGGCCACACCACGAAGTTGGCGTTGGTGCTGTCCACCATGTCGCGGGAGATCTCAAAGACCACCGTCCGCGTCTTGCACTCGGCGAGGACAGCTGGCTCTGCTGCTGCCAGAGCATCTGTGGAGGCCGAGAGGAGGAGGGAGGATGAAAGAGGCTGTGCAACTGTTATCAACCTGCTGCAGCCATCAGTGGGGAGAGGAACAGAGCCCATATGGCTTTGCCACACTCACGTGCTCTTCCCCTTTGCTCACCTGCCAACCTCCCTCCTGGAAACAGTGCCTCCACATGTACTATAATCTGTACCCCAGCACACATATGAGGTGCAGCACCCCACACTCACCAAGGCTTCGCCTCTCTCGAGCCAGGGACGCATGGTTTTGGCTGGGCTGAGTTGCATTCAGGTCCAGGCTAGAGCTGTCTTGCTCTGCAAAAGGAAGGAGAAAGTTGGTAGTAGTGGGTAGAGGTAGGAGAAGAATCATAGAATCATGAGGGTTGGAAAGATCACTGTGATCATCTAGTCCAACCATTGGGCACTGGTGCTTTGCCCACCAAATACAGTGCAGTGGTATGGGCCAAGGCCCTGGGGTGTCATGCATGTGTAAATGCACAGCAAAATCACAGCTATGACCTGAAGTGGGAAAGGAGCAGCCAAGAGGTTCAGATTGGTCTTCTGCAACCAGGATGTGGCAAGCAGGTTCACAGCCCAGCTTAAGAATCTCTAGGCTAGAGTCAGTTTGATAGCAGAACATGAAAGTGAAGCTAAAATGGCTGTTTTTCCCCTCTACTGCTCTATGGTAAGCTGCAGGAGCAGGAGGTAGTTCTGTCAAAGATGGGAGAGGAAAGCAGATCGCATTCAGCCCGGCTCTGTGCAGGGCCCTCCCACCCCTCCACTTTTTCCCATAGGAAGTGCTGAATAGAGAAATGCCCATAGTCCCTACGGAGCACTCCAACATGCAGCCCCTCCTGAGCTATGGACAATGGCTGTGCTCAGAGATAGCTCCCACCCGGCCACAGCTCTTTCCTTCTCTGGCCTGCTTTAGCAGCTGAAGGAAGCTGAATGGACGTCAGCATCGAGGGAGCAATATTCTTACAGGAGATCTGGGCCAGTGGAAGATCTCTGTTTATCAGATATGCGCTGGAGCAGACTTCCCATACCCATCCCATCCCATCCCTCTTCCTCAGCGCTATCTGAGCCCTCCCAGTAGGGATGTTGCTCTCTGCTCAGCTCTGAAGCAGCTACTGAAGGATTTGGGTTATGTGCACAGAGGCTGCATACATGAGGAGGAATTGTGTCTGTTCAGCCAACACCTGTGCATGAGGGGAACTCCCTTCAGAGTGTCTGGAGAGGTGTGATCACTTCTGGGTCAACATTTATTTCATCCAGAGGCAGACACCCAGAATCTGGTGGGCTTTATAAGGACCTACAGATCTCCAAGGGCTACAGAGGGTGTTTGGGTGACTGGCTTAAGTGTCCACAGCTAGCCAGTGTTAATGGAGATGACTCCCACCCAACACACCTTAGTTGTTGGGTCTATGGGAGTTTTTAAGGTCAGGAAAGAAACGTCTCAGTCCACTTGGCTCCTGGAATTCCTGATCCTGGCTCTCTGTGTCCCTGTGCTCAATGCCAGGAACCTCAAGTGAAACTGATGACTCCAAGCTCTCTAGCCTGCTCTGTACCCTTTGGCTCTCCAAGCCAGCAAGAGACTGCTCGCTGTATTTCTCAGCCTTGAAGGCAGCTGGTGGCTGCGATAGAGATGTATCTGTTCCTTGGGCACCGGGAGATGACAGACAGACAGCATGCATCTCCCCACCCCTCCATCCTGCATTTCATCCAGCGAGGGTGGGGGCTGCCTTTTGTGCAAAGGTTAAGCTGATGAGAGGAGAGGGAGGGAGAAAAATAGCAACAACTGTTGACTCGAAACAAATCTCCTATTGAAAAAGCGAGTCCCTCCCTCTTCAGGTTGTCCTTCTACACGCCGGGCCGGCACCGAAGAGGCTCGGGGCGGGGTGGGGGGGAACCGGCTTGGGACAATCAATCCGGAGGGGCTAATTTTGGAAGTTGCCCCATTGTGCGGCTGGTGGATGAGGAGGAGGGAACGGGCGAGGGCAGGGAGCGGCCGTGGCGGTGGTGGGGAGCCTCGTCGCCTCTTTCTAAGGCAAACAATAGCAGAACGCAGCTGGTGCCCTCCCCCTCGCGTTCCCCCCCCCTGCCCCTCCAGGGCCGTTTTGAAAGGCAGCGGGAATGCTTTTGAGACTGCGCCAGTGGTTGGACTGGCATAGGAAACAAAAGCAGGAAATTCTGTTCCCCCGTAGATAGTGTCTCGGCAAGGATTACAAAGCTCCAAACAGACAAAACACGAGAAAGAAGGCGAGCTGGGGGGGGCCGGGGGACGACAGGCGGGAGCAGGGTTAGAATAGAAAGGAATTTGCTCTGAAGAGACCGTTTATAAATAAATTCCTGGGCCAGCCCAGCCGCCGTGGCGCGTGCTCCAATTCCCACACGTGCCGACCCCTGCGCGCTCCATCGCTCTGCGCCAAGTGACCCCGCGGCACTGCAGCCCCCGGAGCTCTTATCTGGGGGCAGGAGGTGAGGCAGGGCTACCCCGGCCAACCCGATTTCACCCCCGGGCACGTGGCTTCTCTTGCAAGCTCAAGCGGAGAATCGTTCAGCGCTCTTTCTCCTGCTTCCACCTCGCCTTTCTCCACCTCCCAACTTGACCCTTGGCCAGAGCGAGCCGTGCTGCATGTGCGTCTTGCAAGGTGAGAAGTGCTGGCCCGTGTTCCAAGTACTCCCCCCCTCACACATCCCCTACCATTTTTGTAGACCTGGCAGGTTTGGAGATCCACAGAAGCATCTACTTGTCTAACTCCCATAGGTTCAGGGGGATTAGGTATGTAAATGCCCAGGGCTCAGACCCTGAGTGGTTAAGGAATTACAGAATCATGGAAATACAGAATTTAGAATGGCTTGGATTCGAAGGGACCTCAAAGATCATCGAGTTCCAACCCCAACATGGGCGTGCTCCTGGTTGCTGCATTGATAGTGGGGTATGAGGGAGTGCGCCTGCAGGAAGATGGATTGCTCCCCCCCTTCTCCCGAAAGAGCAAAGGAAAGAGAGAGGAGTGTTTGGTGAAGAGGAGATTTACCTACGGAGTCTATCCGCAGGGCACGCTGGAGGTCACTGATGGAGCGCACGGAGCTGCCACCCAAAATCTCATAAATATCTTCAGGTATGGGGTCCCCCTGCCAGATGACAAGAAAAAAAAAAGAAGGAAAATGAGCATTAGAGGGGTGATGTGCAAGTGCTGCATCATGGAGTGTGGGGAGTCGAAGCAGCGTGGGGAAAGCTCAGCAGAACCAGTGATATAGTAAGAAAGACACAGCCTCATGAAAGTATGAACCTGAAACCACTACCAAAGTGGTTGGTAGACCCTAAAAAATGCAAGGAAATGCCACAGCTCTGCAGCGAAGTCCTGAGCACGACAAATGCAGTCAGCAATGCTTCCTCCTCCGGTACCGTATGACTTCTCCAGGTGGCCCCTCATTCCTGCTGCCTGCAGTACAGGCGTTTTAACAGACTTCCCTTACGCTATCAGATAAAACCTTCCCAATATTTCCCTCCGTTATGAAACTCCCTCGCAGGCTTTGTGAGATTACCGGGTGTATGTGCGTGTGCATGCGCGTGTTTTCAAACCACAGCGGCCCAATTATATCCACCATTTGCATACTCTTAAAAAACAGAGCTTTGGGGCGGAGAGGCACAAGGACCTTTGCAGCTGAGCTCGCAGCTCGGGCGCAACTGCAAACAGTGCTGGGAGGACAACAGGGATGGGCAGAGGAGCTGGTTTGGGACGTCACCAGGTGCTGGTGCCAACAACCTGAAGTCACCAGGTCTGTAGACATCCGATGACAGACCTGCAGGCAGGTGCAACACTATCAATCTCTTGGGAATCTTACGCAACCTTAAATGGGTCCAGTTGGCAGCACACAAGGCAACAACAAAGGAGTGGTGTGGGAAAGCAAGCACTGATTGAAGCACACTTCCGAAAGAGGATAAAAAGAGAGGAGGAAAGTGCTGGCCGGAGTGTTTGCTTAGCTCCTAGCTTTCTCCATTCAGGGCTACTCATGTGGAAAAGCAGCTCTTTCAGCGGGGTGCTGGATGCCTCTGGAGGCACAGCCCCGAGCTGTGCCCTGTAACTGAGAGCAGAGCTTGGCTCGTGCGCCTGCGAAGCATCAGGATTTTCATGTGGGCTTTTATGGGCGGTCAGTGGCATGTGTGTGGTCCCTCCGGTGCAGTGGTGCTCCTTCCCTGCATGGGTTCAGGGCGGAACGTTTCTTTTCTGCCTGGGGAAAAGCAGCAGGTGGGTGGCACAATCCCAAACACATGGATCCTTTGGCCACCCACCCATCACCTCTACTGATAGGGCAGTGGGAGTGCTCCCATCCCACTGAGCGGGTACTTCATATGGTGACAAATGTGCTGAATGCTATGAGACAGAAACCTCCTGGGACAGATGTCAGGTGCACAGCTGGACCCACTAGTCAGAGCCCCTTGAGCCCTGCATGCATGGGGCAACACAAGCAGGGATGGTGCAGGGTGACCCCCTCAAGCCTCTGTGCCCCGCTCTGTCCCTGTCACATCTCACAGCAGGTCTGGATGCAGATTTCAGAGCCCCAGGCATCACTTCTTCAGCCTCCGTGATGGATGCACAGCAAGGGAGTGACTCACATCATTCAGGGATCACTGAATCGCTGCGCAATGAAGATGCCTTCTGACAACCCCGTGGTGTGAGAACTAACAGGACCAGCAGCCCAGCAATGAGAGCTCTGGGGCACCTCCCCAACCTGTGCCATGCATGGTGCAAAGCAGTCATTTGCAATTCTCAGCACCAGGTGGTGAAATGCTCTTTAGTGCTTGCACCTGTCAGCTGAGAGCATTTGTGCATGAACACTGCTGTGCACTGATGCCCCTGCTCCTTCCTGATACTTAATACGTGTAGGAAATGGGACTTTTATTTTAGACTCCACCACCCGCTGGGGGAGAGCATCGGTAGGTGTGACAAGGTTGGGTGTCACCTTGCTGCTGCCTCCTGAGCCCAACCAAGGGCTGCACACCTGGGAGTACCTGGTGCGGAGGTTTTAGGGTCCAGCACCACCTGATCCCATGGGGTCGGGAGGTGGGGAGCAGTGAAGGAGGAGGGATTCCCAGCAGCACAGCCCAAGCAGCTGGTGCTTTTCCTGCTTAACAGCTCCTCGGAGTTATTTGTCTAACACAGGTTAACAATCTTCTTTTTTTTAACTGTGCGGCAGATCAAAGAAGACTTTTGTCTCAATGGACTCCTGGCTGGCTGTCAAGTGCCCCAAGGCCTGGCCCCATATTCCTGCATGGCTGCTGAATTCCTAGAAGAAAGCAAGTTTGTTTTTCCCCTCCCTCCCTCCCTCCCTCTGCCTCCAGTGCCAGGCTCTCCCCCGAACTACACCCGCAGGGATGTCCCCTCCCCTTTTCCCAGTGCCATGCATGTCCTACAGCAGAGCCATGCGCAGGTTGTGGGTGCAAGGACAGGACCTCCTCCCAGATCTCAGCAGCTGGGGTTGCTGTGAACCCGCATGCACACAGCCACAAGCTGCCTCTGTCCTATGTCACCGTAAAATTAGCCTTGCCCCCAGCCCCACCACTTCTGGAGCTTTCTGCCAACGTAGGATTTTGAGTACTGGGGATGCTAAAAGGTTCAATGTACAGGCAAGAGCTGCTGAGTCCTTCCTGGTGGTGCAGCATCTCTATGACTAGCAGAGGTAGTATGGAGAAGAGACTGCAACAGGGAGGGAAGGGAGACCCTCCAAGCCTGGAGAAAGAAGCTGAGGACATGCTCAAGCACTCTTTCTGGGCACTGTTTCTATATACCCATGTGCTGGTCTCAGGTAGGGGAACACCCAGCTATCTGCTCCTCTGCCCAGCAAAGGAAACTTTCTGAGAATTTCCATGCTGACTATGCCAAGGGTCATGGCAGGAGGGGACAACTCTCCTTGCAAGAACCACTTTCAGGTGGGATGCTGCCATGGCACAAAGCACGGGTCCTGGCTCCGTCCACCAGCTTACCCCTGCCGTGCCATCCATCCATCCATCCACCCATCCATCCATCACTGGCTGCCTTAGCTTTCAGTGTCCTTGTCACTCCCTTATGCTTGGGATGAGCCCTGTCACCTCCCAGCAGGAAGAGGCACGGCAGAACCCAAGCTACCTTGCTGAATGCTCAGCCGCACCCCATTCCTTGGGAATTCCAGAAAGCCCTGCCAACAGGGCTTCACCCAGGCAAAGCCACGCCTGGCTCAGCCCATCTCCGTAAATGTTGCAAGGCAGCTATTGCAGCCCGTGGGGCAAATGCATATCAGTTTGCATCCTCACTTTCCAACTGGCAAATATTTTCCCGCTGGGGCGCTGTGCTCCCGCTCCCTCCCTCTGAAGGGGCTCCAGGGCCCTCCAGCTCCCAATGGGTGTTATGGAAAAGGGAGAGGGACTGGGGAGACCCTGTCTCAGTCTCTGCTGCACTGTCCCTGGCAGGGCTGAGTGTGGGTGCAAGCCCCCCCTGGAGCCTGTTTGCAGCCTGGTAGCAGTCATACTGTGCTTCTGATGCGGAGGTGACATGCCACCATTGAAGCAGATGCTGGGACTGACTGAGCTCTGGCACAGACTGTCCAGGGAGGTGGTGCAGTCACCGTCCCTGGAGGTGTTCCAGAACCGTGTGGATGTGGCACTGATGGTCAGTAGGCATGGTGGAGATGGGCTGGAGGTTGGACTGGGTGATTTTAGAGGTCTTTTCCAACGTTAATGATTCTGTGATTCTGCCTGCTCATGCAGAAGCCTTCTCAGTTCTCCAGTCATAAAATGATAAATGTCACTATTCCTCCTAAGAAACCCAGAGGAGAACCAGAATTGCCAAACTCTAACCCTGCATATCAGCAGGGCCCTGGGATTGGGCACATCTGCCCTACCCCAGCACCAACCAGAGCTGATGTTTGGTATTGCATAGAAGAGCAAAATCTGAGCCACTCATAGAGGAAATGTCATCTTCTGCCAAAAACAAACTTAACCACTGGGCAGCCCGCAGCTCTAGCTGCTTCCCTTTGTGGCTTAGGCAAAACGGGCCTCTGGGGTGGTGATGCCATCATCTGGTCCCTTCCCTGCCACCCATGAATGGGACTGCCTGAAAATGGAGAAGGAAAAGGCAGACATGATGCAAAGGGAGGAAAGTTGGGGTGGAGGATTGAGCTGAGCTACTCATTGACACATGGCTTGGTTGTCTAGGGCTGCAGTGGGAACTGGGCACTGCATCTTTTTGATCCCTTCAGTCACAGAATTATTTAGATTGCAAAAGCTTTCTAAGATCACCTAGTCCAGCTGCCAGCCCATCCCCACCATGCCCACTGACCACGTCCCTCAGTGCCACATCCACACGGCCCTGGAACACCTCCAGGTACAATGAGTCCACCACCTCCCTGGGAAACCTATGCAGCACCAAAATCCTATGTGAGACCGAAGGACACAGCATGTCTTGGGGTCCCAGGGCTCCAGTTGCCAGGATACCCACAAGGGCAGCCCCTTCCCAGCCCCAGCCCTCACCCATATTCCTGAGGAACTGGGGCAAAACACCCCACAGCCCTCACACCCTGCAGGCACAGCCCTCCCCCATCTGTGGCAGCACAACCGAGATCCCCTCCCCGCATTCCTCCTCCATGCACGCTCCCCACCTCCCCCCGTTTTCCCCCGGGCTCCCTCTATGGGACTCACCTCCAGGCGGGCCAGGGGCAGGGACAGGATGACGGCGAAGACCACGCCGAAATTCATGCCGGCTTCAGGCCCCGCCGGCTGCGGGCACATGGACGGAGAGCCCTGGGAGGGAAGCAGTGGCAGCCGGCCTCAGGCAGCAAGCAGGCTGCCGGTCCCCATCGCCTCAGCACCGGGGGGTGCGGGGAGCAGGGCTGAGGGGCTCTGCTATCTCATAGGGTGGGTGGGGAGAAGCTCCTCTGAGCACCGGGCATCCAGCTATGCGTTCCAATGAGTGGCTCCTTAGCAGGTAGTCCGTGTGCTATTTTCCCTCTTGGTCTTCTTGCTTTCTTAAATGCATGCGCATTGAAAAAGAAGAGCTTTTAGGAACAGGCAGCAGTGTTCTTGGGGAAAAAAAAAAAAAAGATGTATTAAAATAAAAACAACTTTTCCCAAGTTTGCTGCAAAATCCAAAAATAAAGTCTTCCTCAGCGTCTTTCTGTTTTAAAATTCTCCTTTTCTTTCTTCTTGTTCCTCCAGACGTTCCTGCACATTGGATCTTCCCCTTTAGATCAGATCTTCCCCTTTAGATCAGACCTGCCCATTTAGATCGGATCTTCCCCTTTAGATAGGATCCCCACGCCGGGCGCTGGCTCTGGTGCCGTCCCTTTCCCAACACCGGCAATTGGTTTTGCTTTGGTTTGGAGACAGGTGAGGGCAATCAGAGGGGTTTTATTGCTCCGGATTGTGTGTGCAAGCCTCGATGAGCCTCAGAGCCCGGCCACCTCCTGCACCCTGCTGAGGGAAAAGCGAAAAAGTGAAATGCAACGGGAGCAGAGCGAGCTGGTGGGGCTTTATGGCAGCGGCGAGCTGGGAGAGACTGAACTGGCACCCGGGGCTGCCGCTTTTAAAAGGAGAGATGGGTGGAGCATAACTTGCCATCCTCCTCTTCGCCGAGTATCAAGGGAAAAAATCTAGCTGCTGCTGGCTGACAAAATAAAAGTGTGTTCATTGGAATGATTAATTAATTACAAATGACTAACTCTACGATACCCCTTTTAACGTGGCTTGGAGGAACAGGGACGGCAATTCCTTTCTCCTCAGGCAGAGATAAGCAGAGCGGAGTTCCCGGCACGGGAGTTTATTTTTTTGCCCTGGGTTCTTGGGAGCCCGTTTCCCCTGACTCCTTCCCTTGTAATACTTACTGCGAGGAGAGAGCTGGCTTTCATAGCTACATCTCTTTGTGTGCAGGGGGGAAAAAAAAGCAAGGGAAAAAAAAAAAAAAAAAAGCCAGAGAAATCGAAACATTGCTGCAAGGCAATCTGGTGTTGCTCGTGGCACCGGGAGGTGTTTTGCCGCGTGATTATCCCCACAATGTAATAAACATCTGAAGGGAAATTGAGCCAGCAGCTGAGTGCTGGGGGGGGGAGGGAAGGCTGCTAACAGGTGAGTTCAGGAAAGAGTCACAACCTATTGCAAAAACACACGTACGCACGCCCTCTCATGTGCATACGGGCGATCTCCCGGTGCGGAGTTGCACACTCGCAAAGCACACGTCTTTGTGCAGCCTGCTCTGCGCCGACACATTCCTGCAGTGTCATGTACTGCAGGCACCCAGCAGGCGATCGCTCTGCATCCCGAGCATCTCCCTCTCCTCCTCTCTGCTACGTCGCATGCTCGGCTACGTGCAGATTTCATCTCATTCACACATCCCTGAGCATCCATGTGTTCTCCTTCACTCTCCCCCTCTCCCTTCCTTTCTCACATGCGCACACCCTCATGGCCTCATCTCGCAGCATCACACACTCTCTCTCAGACTATCTGGGTTTCTCATGCAGCCAATCCTCTCTGAAACACGCCACCTCACGCCAGCCCTCACATATACACTATGCGAGGTGTCATCGAGCGTCCTTGCACAGTAGGCATGACAACGCCTCCGAGTTGGATAGTTATGCCCCCAACCTGACTTTGGACCCAAGGGTTGGTCTGGAAGGTCATAATGAAGCTGGGGACCCTCTGTAGCTTTCCCTTTCGGAGTCACAGAATTCAGTCGCGAAACGGAAGGACCTTATGGTTGGGCAGCTTGTCAAGATGCCCTTGGGTTGCAAGGGATCAAGATGCCTTTAGGTTGCATAAGATCACAGCAATTGTCCCTACCGTGGAAGACGAGGGGAGGATTTCTCCACCAATGGAGCATTCAGCAGAGCTGTGCCAGTCCCAGAGCCCAGGGAGTCTGCAGGAGTAGAACATGAAGATTGTCCTGGAAGTCCCTCACGTGGCTCAGTCCCAGCCTGAAGCTCAAGTGGGAGGAAGCGGAAATGCAACACATACCTTTGCTCTTGTGTCCACCGCCGGACACTTTAGCAAGGACTTCACCTTAGATGCTCCAGCAGTGCTAGCCCTGTCCCACCTCACATTCCTCTGGGAACTCTCAGAATTCCACTTGTTCTCCATAGCATACTAGTTATTTCTCCAACCCCTCAATGGAGCTGCTGCCCTACTCTCTACCTGGGTTAGATCTGTAAGAGGCTCCAAAAAAAGGATTTGGGAAGGGTCCGGGTCTTCCTCACCTCACTCCAGGTAACACCAGCTGAAGGAAGACTATAACCATAGAGGTCAGTGGGGGAACACTGATGATGGAGGATGGCCAAACCAGCTTCTGGGTGACCCCATAACACGTTTGATGTTCACGATGTGCCCTTCGAGGAGCTCTGAGACAACTTGTGTGGCCTCATTCCAGTTGTGCAAGGCTGCCCCGTGCCATAGTGTTGGCCGCCGTGCCAGGGCAGAACAGCCTGCGCGTGGGAGGGCTGATTAAACTCCTCAGCAGGGAGATCTGTCACCATCAGAGAGGAGAAGGATGAAGCTAGCAGGGAGTGCTGCTAATTTTCTTGCTTGGTAGGAGCAAGAGCTGCTGCAAGGGCCTGCTTTTGGGGGGCTACGTGCTTATTTTTTTTATAATATCCGGCTATGTTACATGTGAGCTGGGATAGAAATAGAGTTATTTATTTTCACGTGGATGATGCAGGGCGGTTTTTAGAAGCTCGACATCAGAAACAAAAAGCTAATCCCCGCCGAATCTCCAGACAGCAAGGAAGAGGATGTTTGGAATTTGACTAATCATCTACCTATGACCCTGCCTGGAAATAGAGCAAGACGATATGCGATATGCTCGGGCTTCAGACGTGTTGCCTTGCTCTTTCTGCTTTTAAGACAGGAACAGATTTTTCTGCAGTGAGGTATTGAGATTCAGACCGTGCCAGTCTCACTCCACCAAGTTCATTGGGGTTGAGATCAGCATGGCCGCACGCACACACTGCTGTGCCCTGAGATTAGCGTTCCCTTTATTCTCTTGCTTTTGTGAAATCAGCTCATGATCTACACTATGAACCCCTAAATTTAATAGGGACCATTATCGTCCCTTCTCATGACCTGTGGGGTGGAGGCCTGCAAAGTCCACCAATGGAGGTCTCAGGAAAACTTTCTTCCCAGACAGAGCGGTGCTGCAGTGGCACAGGCTGCCCAGGGAGGTGGTGGAGTCACCATCCCCAGAAGTGTTCAGAAACCGTGTGGATGTGGCACTGAGGGACATGGTCAGTGGGCATGGTGGGGATGAGCTTACGATTGGACCCGATGGTCCTCATGGTCTTTTCCAACTTTAATAATTCTGTGATTCTCTGATCAGTGCCACAGATGTCACAGCACATGGGCTTGGAGCCCAGCACCGTTGCATTGCAGTGGAAGGTGCTTCAAGGCTACGTAGAGCGGCCACTCCGTGTTCCATTGGAGCACTGCAACCTGACAAGGTGCTGTTGCAACCATGGTAGCTGGCAGTGGCTCCTCGGGCAAACTGCAGCAAACAGGTTTCCTAAGAGCCTGTAGTGATGTTTCTCATTTAAACACTTTCACCACCACAGCAGCTCCTCAGCTGCAAACAGCTGTGCTCATCTCTTCATTTATTTTCTTATCACAAGGGAGGAGGTCAGGACATGCCCTAGGGCAACACGTGGCTCCTTGATGTGGGGCCACCATCCCCTCATCTTACATTGGTGGAAAAAATGATCTACTTGCCACCATCCACAGAGGCATAATTCTAGGGTGATATCTCTTTTTTCCTCCCTCCCCCCTCCTTTTTTTTTGAGTGTTGTGAAACAGCAGGAAACAAAACAGGGTTCACAATGGAAAGCAAGAATCAATCCAAACAACTGAGGTGTTTCAGCCTCTCCGTGATGAATCCTACTTTGCAAAACATCAATGGAAAGAAATTAGGAGGTGTTGACAGCCCGCGTGTAGTCAGCCCGCCCACTCAAGGCACCTAGTTTAGGTGTTGCACTGCTCCCAGGGCAGGGTGAGCCATCCCCCACCTCCTCCCCGTGGCTGCTGTTAATGGAGGGGAGCAGCTTTGCATCAGGAGGTTCTCAGGGTGCATCGGTTTTACGCTAAGGGGGACGGTCTCGTTGGGTTTATCCCAAGCAGAGCCATCAGGATGGAGCTGCCATGGCTTCCTGATGGCTGGGTTTAGTCTATCAGAGGAAGACAGGAGGAAAGGGGAAGAGGAGCGAAGGAAGGAGGCAGAGACAGGCAGGCAGCCTGCTGTTTATATGTGGTGCCTGAGAAAAGCAGAGCCTCAGGGCATGCATGGCTTGCACAATTCGCCTTCTTGCCCTTGGCGCTGGCAGGGAAAGTGCTTTCCAAGGATGAGTAAAGCACTTGACCCCAGGGCAGGGAGTTTGGTGGGACATGCCTGGCTTCCTCCAGGAGCTTCATGGCAGAGGAATTCCTTCTGTCCCTCACCGTGTCTGCCTGCTCACCCCTTCCCAGCAGAAACCTGTCAGCGGTGAGCATGATACATCCCTGGGACAGTGCACTGACCCTGACAGTGGGAGATGGGAGAGAGCTTGTGCCAGTCCATGGGTGAAGGAGAATCAAAGCACCACCATCCACTGCCAACCTGATTGAACTGTGCCTGTTCATTGCAGGAGAGTGGGACTGGCTGACCTATTAGGGTCTCTCCCAGCTCCAATGATTCTATGATTCTAGGAGCATGCAGGTCAAGTAGGATACAGGGATGGAAGGCAAAACTGGGGACACTGATTTCCCATTGCTTTCCTGCAGACATATAACAGGGAGGAGGGAGTGCAGCCTTCTCTGTTCACACCACCAGATATTTCTTCCGCCCCCCCTTCCCCCCCCCCCAAGTTTAGGGTAGAAGGGAACAATTTCCTTACTCTGGCAACCATCCATTATGTCTATGGAGTTGCTCCCCACCCCATTCCCCCTCTCTTTCCTGTTTTGATGAAAGGAAAAAATGTTCTGCTTTCCTTCTTTATTTTTCCAGACTGGTGAATAGCACTCGAAAGGAATTTCTCTCCCTCCCCCTTTTCCCCTCTCCCGGTATAACAAATATATATACGTGTGTGTGAACGCGCCACGCACCGCGGGTCAGCTGCTGTTTTTGACAAGGCATCGGCTATTTTTGTTCCCAGGGCGAGGAGGTGGGCATCCTTCCCCCTTCACAACCCCGGCCCCATCCCTGCCCGCAGCCCCTCCACTCACCTCATCCCATCCTCTGCCCCTGGGTACGCAGTGAGCGGCGGTGGCGGCGGTGAGAAGGAAGCTCGCTGAGCCGGAGTAAAAATAGCCCCAGCAGTTACTCAGCTCAGAACGTAACATGACTCATGATGTGAAATGAAGATATGAGGGTCGAAAACCAAAAGCAAGCGGCTCTGCCTGCCCCTCCACCTGCTATGTGTGTGTGTGCTGAAGCAAGACGAGCTACTAGCCCTGCTGGTGGGGTCAGGGCAGAGAGCAGGCTGGAGAGGGGAAGCCCCATGAGATCCTCCTGCCCACCCAGTTTGGATGTGCCCACCTCAGTCTGGGTGGCTCTGGTGATGCT